CGATGTTAGGTTGCGGACATCCGGTGCGTCCCAACGATCATAAGCGAAGGAAGAGCTGCGCTAGTCACATCATTCGGAATCTTCAAATACATGGCTGGTTACTCTCTCACGCAGTTCGTCACTGTAATGCTGCTGTACTATATTTCGAATATCCTCACAGATGGGCAGGTCTGTGAATTTCACTTGATTTTGTTTGTTGATTATGGATCCGTTTCAGTTCATGTATATCGACATGTTTTTGATAACTCTGCTGGCTGTTCTTTTTGGAAACACTGCGGCCTACGAGAATCTCTGTCCAACGCCGCCTCCTACGCGATTGTTGTCTGTTGCTAGCATCTGTAGCGTGCTTGGACAATTAGCAATAATGGGTAGCACACAGGTGTGACTTCTTGAATTACAGTTGTTTTTAACTTCTATCCGAATGATCAAATGTTGGAAATATGCTGGTGTTTTCTAGCTGCTTGTGTTTCTGATGACCACAACCCAACCATGGTTTGTTCCTTATACTGCTCCACGTGGATCAGAAACTGAAGATAAAAGGAGTATGCAGGTAGTCCTATCCTCAACGTAGCCACCCTTGAGTAATTTGTACGTCATATATATGCTCCAGGGAACGGCTGTATTCTACGTATCTGTGTTCCAATACATCACTCTAGTCGTCGTTTACTCAAAGGGACCCCCTTATCGCGACACCCTCTACAGCAACAGACCTTTCTGTGCATCCATCGCCTTTGTCACATTGGTAATTTTTCTCTTTAATTTTGATGCTGAGAAGCGAAAGGTAGTGACTTCAAAAACTAGCGTGCGCACGAATGTGCACCATAGGCAGCTCCCCTGATTTGTGCACAGCATCTGTCAGTTTTTCGTTCGGGTAGTTCTGAATTTTTTGTTACGATTGAAATCGAGTACCAAAGCTTCAAAGAGGTCCTTTTAAAAAGGCTACGGCACGCTGAGAAAACTTCACCCAAAGTGGCCCGCAAAGAGCAGTTTGGCTCTTGCTGGACGGTTTGCGAGTTACCCTTGCGCGTTTCAAAACATCGTTAGGCAGTACTGATCTCTATTCTGCATGGTCTTTGAAAAAAGGGGTTTTGAGATTTTCATGAAAATTTGAATTCATCCACGGACATAAGTCACTGTAAAAGGCTCGCAAGCATTTACTGGCCTTTTCTATGACTACGAAGTAGAGTGCGTGCAGCATATGTCTGCAGAAGGTATTGAAGACTAATTCTTTATCATTTATCCTTTTAGGGTCATTGGGTCGAGAAGGCTTGTAGCAAGAACCCAGACAAAAGTTTTCAGTGAGACACATTCAATGCTTGCTCACGACAAGGCACTCGCCACGGCTCTCGGGAAGTAGCTTCAGACGAGATCCTTGTCGGATTTGCGCTTATCAAGTCCCATATTTAGAATCAGCGCATGAGAAGTCCTGGCTAAGACAGTAGCTGGAATGCTAGAATTTGCCGGGGCTGCCGAGATGCTCGTAACCTTCATCTCTAACAAATCGCATCTGTCACTGGGGCAAATTTCGCTGCAAAACGTACAGTCAGCATTGAGCGCATATTCACATACTCCTTGTACTTTTCGGATGCAAAATCGCGAATTTAATACTTGACTTTAGTTACCCTAAATTTTTGAAGGTTGGAATTTTTGGTGTACAGGATCATGTTGGAAAAACTGTAAGTAGAACTGTTTCGTGCAAGATGTGATGTTCTTGAGTTGTTAAAGTGACTTAGAGCTATTCAGTTGAAAGTTCTGAGAAGATTTTTGGGTGGAAAGTTGTGAGGAATGTATATATTCGCATGGACAAGGTGTACGAGCACAGACTAAGCATATGCAATTTTGCAAATATGAGTGATTGGTGTCCGTCTTGGCCTGTCGGGAACTCTATAATGAACATGAAGCGCACGATTTCAGTAAAGAAGTTTTTGTGCCTTAATGTTAGCTGACTTGGAGAGGAGGAGAGTTTGCCTGTCTTCAACTGATAAAATTGTTTTAGTTATCACTTGTAATTATATTATGGGCTCCTGCTTGGCTGCGCGACTTCATGGGCAATATGGATCTTCCATCGTTCGAGTATCGTAGCCTCCTCGTACTGATTGCCTGTATAAACGCTGTCGTTTCTTTTCTGTTTGAGAAGGTCTTCGTCGAGCAATTCTTGCTTGATTATATGGAAAGGTGGGTTTCCAGACTTGAATTCGGACAAACAAGAATGAAAAAAGTCATTATTGAGATCGATATTGTTTCAAAAAATATTCTGCCGTTTCCCAAGAATATTACGAAGAAATATCTTTTGCTGTTACAAAACGGTAGCACAGAAGCTGCTAACTTATTGATTACTACTATCAGGTTCATTCTTTTGAGTTCGTCTATGATTGTTTGTACAATGTACAGTTGTACATAAAGTTGTACATATATTTTTAATATAGCTTTGCGATATATTGAGTTTGTTTTCTGAAACGAAAATCTGACTTTCTCAGGCGGATGAAGCGGAAACGAGTCGAAGCGAACTACTCAGATGAGCTGTATGCTAAAAATGGGGGTGCTCTATATGAGCGCATACTTTCTCGAATCGGTGCGGAGCCATCGTGGTTTCTTCCTCGCCTCAGTTGTTCATCGTGAATGGGCTCTAAAAGAGAAAGAAAAACGCTAATCTAATCATTCTATTGCATTATTTCGATTTTGTTTGCTCATATATTGTTTCATTCCTTCACCCGTTGTTTTAGCTAGTTTCTAATCAAAAAAGTTTCTGAAACTCATTCTGTACTTTTGTTATTGTTGAGATTTCTATCTGTTAATTGCTGATGACCAGCACTGATCTTTTTCCATATTTCAAGCTTTAACAGCTATATAGTTCCATGACTCCTGTGCCTTTATTTATTGTTAACATTTGCACATCTCAAGGTACACGATTGTTCGCTGTTTGCCGGCTGAGAACATATTTTAGTTGATTTTTGGCATCACTGTCTCAGCATTGTTGATAGGTGCATTATTTTGGCATGGCGTTCATAATAAATTCGATTCTATCTTTGATTGTAAAAATTATAGAGCAGTTCTGGGTATAGGTTGAGGTATTGATCTAGAAGGTTTGCGTTGAATATTCGACAGAACTAGCTCTACTTTTTTATCGTGGCGGGTTATCTCTATCAAGACTAGACCAAAAAATCTCCAGAACAGCGCATTTTGCTTATTAGTCAGGCAGGAGCAGAAGCATCCAGAATTATATGTGTAACTCCAGGCCAGGCCCGTGCCAGCATCGTGCTAGCGCCGTGCTGAGATGTCGACAGATTAATATGGGGTGCCTTTACATGGGTTCCGGCACGAGCAATTCTGGCCGCTGTTTGAGATGGAGTTCTGAAGGGTCCGCATAGTAGTATCATACCGTAATTCTGTACTGGGTGGATTCTATAGGAACCGAATTTTTCGAATAATTATTTGAATGTTTATTCGAACTAGAATGATCGGATATTC